TGGATAGTGATTCAAATTAGATTTGAATTCCAGAAAACTTCCAGAAATGGGCAGTGGAGTCATCATTGCAAAGGGACTTTTTTTCCTTTCGATTAAATATTTCTGGAGTACCTTCTATGTGCCAGGCACTAGACCAGGCATTAGGGAATATGATTATGGACATAAATATCATCCCTGCTGAGTTTATAGTCTAGTTGATGTATGAAATGTACATAATGACTAAAAAAAGTACTTAAAACATACGTACTCTTTACGGGTCCTCAGTGTAGCTGCAGAACAGATATACATAAATAAGTTAGCATGTAATATGGGCTCTAAGTAGAATAGAGGGATGAACAAAAGCTATGAAAGTGGGGAAGAAAATTGTGAAAATAACATGGATCCATGTTTAAGTTGATTTCTCACTATGTATTTAGGTGTTTTAAACAATGAGTGTGTGCGTATTCAGTGTTTCTTATATATTTCGATGTCCTGTGCTATTTGTTAAAAAACAAATTGTCATTGTTTTTTGTTTTAGACCAACTGGTGGGAGTGACAAGTGGACAGCGACAGCTTGTGACTGTCTTTCATTGTACCTGACTGGAGCTGTAGCAACAATAATCTTACAGGCAGGTAGTGGGGTAATAATGAGTCACAACAGATGTTACTGATGATTTTATTGATGTTTCCACCAGTTCCATTTATTGTCTTTCTAGTTGAGGAAATATCAGCAAACTATTTGGATTTTGTTACAAACTTTGTTGGTTTTGTTTCAGGGTAAATGCCTGTTCGATAATAGGTGTATCACAAATGATTGTGTGAATGAGTCAAAGTAAAATTCTTGAGTTGGTAGTTTGCATGCTAGAAATGCAATGTGCATGCTAGAGTGGCTTTTGAGAGCCATTTGATGGTCTTTTGCTAAACTGGAAAGTTAGGCTTCTAGCGAAATAATATTCACTGTATATCATAAAATTATGTGAGAGTATGGATTTGAGAAGAGGCATATATCTTTTCAGAACACTTAAAAATACTTTGCTTCCTTTACTTTTTTCTAATTTATGTTTTATTGCGTTAATGATTAGAATTTTCTTATATAACTCATTTTTATGTTACTTTTTTCTTTCCATATGGACTTTCTCCCTTTTTATAATTTCTCCCATATGAAGTAGAATATATATTTTGTAGTTCTTTCTTTTGCTTTTTGTAGGGAAAAAAGGCATACTTTGGAAAATATATTTTGATTCTATAATTTACTAAGAGTTTAGGGGAATAGAGAAACTTGTTAACTGGTGGTGTGTGCTCCTCCCAGCCCTCAATTCTGGGATTGAAAAAGTTTTAAATTTTTTTTTCTTTTTTTAGGAAGTTTCACCTTGACAGTGAGGTCTTCCTGATACACTTCACAAAACAACTATGTCTCCATTGACTTTCTTCCGTGCTATTTTCTCTCTGATATATTTAGATATCCAAATAACTTTACTCAGGAAATTTTTTTTCTTGCTTTGAGAAATATAAAGTGCCTATGAAAAGTACATTGTTTATGAAGAAGATTTCACTTTTGTGTCTCATATTTACTCTCCTCTTAAATTACTGCAGGAAAACAACACAACATGGCCACTACCTGTGAAAATTTTCTGCAGAGATGAAAAAGGAGAGCGTGTTGATGTTTCTAAATATTTGATTAAAAAGGGTTTGGCTTTGAGAGAAAGGAGGTATAGACTTTAAAAAAAATGTTTTTGACATCAGTTTGTGATGGTTACTATTCTTATTTACCTGTGCAAATCTTCGTATATGTGTGCCTTCAAACCTGAATTGTATCATTTTCTCTTAAAGATGTATAAACTAACCATGAGGAGCCAGCTCAAAAACAGATTCCCTTAGAATTGCTCATTGGTTTATTCGGGCCCATCAGCTCTTGCACGCTTAAACCCTATACTGACATATTTGCTTTTGTAATTTCCCCTTTCCTTTGATATTTACACTTAAACCAAAGAAAAAAAGAATTGTATACTGGGCACCAAAGGCAGAAATGTTTAAGCTTCATTTTAGAAATTCCAGTAGGTATATACCAAAATGTATTTTTATGAAATAGGAATGAGTAGCAGAAAAAGTAATTGAGCAATATTTATATTTAAAGATCCTTTCAGGTAATAAGTTTGGAGTTTAAGCACCTCTGATCCAGGGGACAGGATCAGGCTATTGCTGTGGCCCTGCTAGGAACATAGAGGTATGCCGGATTGCAAACACACGTCCCAGATTGCCACCTTCTACCATGCATGGCCAGATCTCCTTAGATGTGGTTGTCTTAAATCATGTCTTACCTTATTTAGACCAGGCCCTCAGTCTTGATAAAATGAAGGGAGAATGAGAAATCAGAAATAAAGTGGGACGTGAGGTAGTTGGCTAGGTATGGCAGGTGCTGCCTGAGTTGCCT